TATAAAGACTATTCAAATATTTCAGTGTTTTGAAAGGCAAGTGACATTCTATTCAATCATTTGCCGTGCTTCATCGGAGTGGGCGGAGCTCAGCAGACGTTTGATGCGATTTGCTTGCTGTGAAACTCTGATTGGTGGGATTCTTTACAGTATCATGTGTAATGCAGTTTTTCACCAGGGATTTCACTGTTAAACATGATCATTTAAAACATAAGTTGAAATAAAGCAAACTGATGCCTTCAACAAAAGCACATAGCATTGATTGACATGCATTTTTAATTCCGTAACCCGGCTGTTGTACTCAATATGACGATTACGTTTCAAACAAAAAATTTATACAATCCACACAGGGCATTTTTCAGAAACAGTAAACCAGATTCCAAAACAATCAGCCGTGTTGGTGGAAATCTGGCGATTGCGATTGGCATGTATCTGTAGACCACTGGTTAGAAATCACTAATCAGCTAACAAGCGGATGCCACCCGCTGCTAGTGTGCCTCCGATGACTCGCACGTAGTTCTTTGACAGAACACGTCTAGAGACATGACAAGAAAAACTCATGCAGAGTGACAATTTTTCCTACTCAGAAGCACAGATAGCCATATCCTTTCTGACAATAACACCCGGTGGAATAAACCAAAACCAGTATTTTTAAAGGGCATGCATTTTAGCTGCTTGTTAAGGACACCCAGGATTCCATGGAGGATAGCAAAGGGCTACGGTTCCACTGGAAACGGTTTGTCATCAGAGGCTATTTCCTGTGCTTCACTTCATACACGATTACGGCAAATGTAGTCTTCCTGCATGGGCAAGAAGAGCCTGCAGCAGTGCTCATCTGTTTATTCCCAAGCCCCTTCAGGGCAATTGGTGTCCAATCTCATTCAGGTGGCTGAAGTTTGGTTTTATGTAAGACTATTTTTCTTTTCATTCTTTTTCTTTTTTTTTAACAAAGTGCACATTGACCTTTCAGTGTGCGGCTACCCTGGGAAAGGAAAGAATGCGAGCCTCTCTGCTGGGAGACAATGGAGAGACCTACCACTGGAAAGCAAAGAAGTGGCCGGTGAAAAGCTCTGCATGTCTCTGCGAGTGTAAATGCAATTCATGTACTGCACTGCATTCGTTCAACCTTTGTGTTTCCGTCATGAGTTGTGCTACAGTGGTTACACGTTGTGCAAAGCGCTGATACATTGTGTTCAAATTTCTTACCGCCATCGATCATTTTTATAAAAAAGCATTTATTTAAAAGTTTTTGCTTCTTAGATTGAAGCACATAATAAAGCAACAGTACAATGTTCATAAAATATAAGTGTGATGCTGTAATATTTTCCTTACATGTTGAAATACTGATATTTGTATGTATACTAAAATAAGAACTTTTAAAATTGTACAAATAGTTACCATAAAATCGACATAGAAATTAGCCATTTCTCACTGCGACAAGACAGACTGCTATTTTCTCACCAAGGAGAATAACATAAGCCATTAAAGAAAATGAGAAATGAAAAAAAAAGAAAAAAAATAATAATAATAAAAAAAAAATAAAAAAAATTGATGGTCATAATATCATCATAATAAAAAAAAAGAAGAAATAAAATTATTTACATAAACTGTTCGGTGTAAGATTGATCCTTAAGAGACATATTTTGCACTTTGTACTGTACATACGTTATAAGGACTTTAGCTTGCTTTAAACAAACTATAACAAAAAAAAAACAAGAGGACCTGTTTGGACAATATCTCCAAAGACAATATGGAGGCGCTACAGAAGTTACAGAAGTCTTAATTTGCTGACGTTCGCTCCAGATTATTAATAAGGCAACTGTTTTTGTTTTTATTTCTTCGTGAGCTCGTTCACAGTATCAGCAAATCCATGTCTCTCTGTGATCCACATCCATAACCTCAAACCTGTAGGAACCTACAAACATCAATAGTGAAACGTAATGTTCTTCAGTTCTTAAACAACATTGTCACATATTTCCTTATTTCATACACTCCACAGAGACACATCCACCACAGATGTGTCTATGTGTCTTTTATCTTTTTTGTTGTTGTTGTTGTTGTTTTATTTTGTTTTTGACAAAAAATATATATTTCTACCCTTCTGACTCCCCCCATAGCACATTGTGATCGTACCTATGACACTCCCAGCATCTAGTATACTGCGCGTATACTAACAAACAGCCTAAAGTTTACTATAAAGTGAAAAACTCATGGAATACTTATAGTAAACTTCACAAAACACACAGTTAGTGGAGGAGGGCCGGGTGGAGGGAGATGAAAAATGACTTATTTGAGCGAATGTTAAGAGTTGTCATCAGCCGAGTCTTTCGTGCCGTAAAGATCGGCAAGTTTCTTGAAGCGCGGCCCCCAGCTTTGGAGGTAGTCGTAGTCCAGGTCTGAATCTGTGGTCACCGACTCCAAGGAACTCAGAGAGCCAGCGATAGAGCCTCTACCTTCATAACCGTAGATCTGAATGGAGTCATACGGGGGCGCTGTGGGGTCATTGTCCGCGTCAGAAATCCGCGTTTTGATGAAATCATCCACGTCTACGCTGTTGCCAATGGGCCTCAGGCCAGGGCACATGGGATACTGCAGCTCGGGCTTGATGTCCTTACGGGGCAGGAACCCATTGGCACCGTCTGGATTCTGTAAGGTGGCGATGTCAAATGCCTCTGTGTCCTCCTCGCCACCTCCCTCATCATCATAGGTGATGATGTTCTCCCGAATGTCTTCCTCCTCAAATACGATCAAAGGCTCCTTTTTCTGGCGTCGCAGGGCCACAAACAGCACCACAATCGCTGTAGACATGCAAACAAATGTTAAGCCAATGCTAATAATATCTCTTACTTATGCTGGAATTGCTATGTTGCTTCTCTGTAGGTAATCACATCAGAAACTGTTTTCTTAAATGTAGTTGTTGGAAAGATTTGACTATGAAGATAAAGTGTTCCCAATAAATGCAATGTTTTAATATTGCACTTTGATAAGTCTTGAGACAGCTAATATATCTTGGGAAATTATGAACTGTTATATTACAGCTCTTCGATATGACTTGACAAGCTTTAAACATTAGACAAAATTCTAAATCCCTCGTAAGACCGTTCTCTCAGTGCAAGGTTACTAACTTTACATGGTTTCCCGAAAATACACTCAATGATTGTGTGTACATGTCGCTGTCTGTTCAAAAACTTTGCATTTTTTTTACTTTGCATGGAAACATACAGTAAAAATGTAACCATCATAACTGTACAAAGTTTAGGTTGTTCAACAAGTGACTACATAAGTTTGCCTTACTCTCTCAGTGCAAGGTTACTAACTTTACATGGTTTCCCGAAAATACACTCAATGATTGTGTGTACATGTCGCTGTCTGTTCAAAAACTTTGCATTTTTTTACCTTTTTTTTTTACTTTGCATGGAAACATACAGTAAAAATGTAACCATCATAACTGTACAAAGTTTAGGTTGTTCAACAAGTGACTACATAAGTTTGCCTTACAATTACTCTGAAGCATTCGTCTCTAACAATTTAAAATATAGACACGGTCCGAGTCACTAGTTAAAATTGCTTATTTCTCTGGATTTAAACATTCTTCGAAACATTTGGGATAGTGTAAGTACACAAGTCAGCAAAATATATAACACTGTTCTAGTGGTTTTTGGATATTTTAATAAAAAATACTGTGCCTTTAAGTAAACGATCGTCTTTACAACCTACTTAGGCTCACAATGCTTTTGGGAAACAAATCCGTAATCAGTTTTTAGAGGCAAGCAAAGTCAATAAATGATGTTCTCTGTAGAGTATCTGTTCTTTAAATACTTTATGTTTCTGTAGTTGTATAAGTGTAAAAGAACACCAGTGTGTTTTGGGGTGAAATGCAAATATTGACATGCATCAGGTCTCTATAAGATGTTTAAACCAACCAAGCAAGACCTCTATTATTTACACATGGTTGCTTTGCTTGTATATTCATATACAAATATAATTAGGCTTACCTAGTAGAATAACAATACAGGCCAAAATGGCAATCAGAGCTCCGGTGCTGAGCCCTGCAGAGAGGATGAAAGGTTCGACATTGCAGGAGAGGATGGTGTCTTTGCTGTCGCAGCTGCACACTCGGATTATAAGAGTATTGGTGCTGCTCATCGGGGGTACGCCGTTGTCATTGATCTCGATGGGAAGGTGATACACATCCTGGGTCATTCTGCTGAAGCCCTTCCGGATCACAAAGATGCTAGCAGTGCTATCTGTGGAAGCAACAGAGGAACATTGATGGAATGTTTACTTCAGCTGATGAGGATTTTAGTAAATAACAACAGAGTTGTAAATGTGCTGAATAGAATTACAGGAAAGTTTTTTTCATTCCCTGGAGTTTAGGTGCCATGAGAACTACCCACAGCCACCGGTGAGAGTCAATGAGGTGTGAATCCTCCAATATTAAATTCATGTTTAATATTGAGAACATTTATCAGCTGTTGGAAGTGTAATCATAGTTAGAGTGGAGGGAGCGGTATTGGTTTTATTTGCAACTGGGAGGGATGGATCAGTGCCAGCGCATTTCCCTGACTCAGTGCAAGGTCACGCTGGAGGCATAGATGGAGTGAGTTCATTTAGGGGCCTGGGGTTTAGTCATTTTCATTCCCTCTGGCACCACTTTCTTCAACCTTCAGTGACTCTGTCAGGGAAGGCCACTAATGATTTGGCTACAACGCTCATATAGCATGACGCCGTGGACAGGATCGATCAATCTAATGTTATCCATTATAATTCTATATCATATTCTGTCAGTGAGATTACCATGGGCTGTGTGAAGTATCAATTTGCAACATTTGAACCCAAGAGAGCTTCTCTGGGTCCTTGTTCACGATGTGGTGCTTTTGGGCCACCTTGATTGGTAAATGCTGTACACTGAGAACTCTCACGGAAGCCTCCTTTGTGCCAGGAAGGGAGCATGAATGCGTTGGCCATGTACACATGATGTGT